TGGAGGAGGAGGAGGAGGAGGTAGGGGTGGTGAATCCTGTTGCTCCAGAGAAGAAGGTTCTTCCCTTTTGGTCGCTTCTGGTTCGGTCGGTGCTGGTGCTGAAGTTGCTGAAGTTGATGCCGGTGCTGAACCTTCATCTTCAGCAGACGACATCGACGATATGTCCGCCACTTTTTAAAGCTCTTAATCACAGCTTCCTCCTTCCTTCTTCTTCTTCTCCGTCGCCGCTGCTTACGTTCTACTTATCTCTTCCAGTAGAGTTATCACAGAGCCGCAAAGTCAGCAAATTGCTGCGCACATACAGAAGAAGAGGTGCGCTTAGAGAAGAAGCCAAGGCGTTTACGACGGGAGTATTGAGAACGGGGGTGGTAGCGGTTGTGGAACCCTCTTCCAACAGGTAAAAGCGATGGAGTAAAATAGAAAATAGAACAAGTCGGTCACCGACGACAGCTGCTGCTGCTGAAATTCGCCAGCGAGGCACAGGCCGACACACAACACACACAGACCACTTCTACAGCTTCTTCTTTGCCGTCGACGGTCAGCGGCGGCAGTGGAGAGTTGAGAAGACAGAGGCAAAGGCAAAGGCAGTCAGTAAAAGAGGCAGGCGGGTAGCGGGGGGAGCCAGCTGAAGTGGAAGTTGAGCGAGCTGCTCTTCAAGAGGCAGAGAGAGGATCTGTGGATCTGTGGCGCCTGGAAAGCTGACTGACTGACTGCGGAGATCCTCGTCGTCTGAAGCAGGAGAAGTAGAAACTCGAGTGAGAGAGAGAGAACAGAGAACAGAGTCGGCGACGGCTGCGGCTTCGACGATGGCGAAATCAAAACAATCACTGGCACTGCCGCTGCTGCACAGTGGCCGGCGTGCACAGATGACGTGCAGTNGCGGCTTCGACGATGGCGAAATCAAAACAATCACTGGCACTGCCGCTGCTGCACAGTGGCCGGCGTGCACAGATGACGTGCAGTGGTGGTGGTCGCTCGTGGTCAAGTTCGGGCGCCGGGAAATTGGAACTCTACTGGCCCGATAATATCTGTCTAATCCCGCTACCTAAATGCCACCATCACCACCGCTACCTAAATGCCAACACAGTTTTCAAGAGGAAGGGAATGAATCATGTACGAGAGAAGGGTTCTCTCTGGCAGCAGCTGTACGGCAACCTGCAACCGAAGCAGCAGCCGACGAAGAGCACCAGCCGATTCCTATATAGAGAATTCGGCGCCAGTGAGTGTGAATGCTGTTCCAGCTGCACTGTTTGATCCAGTAGTCGTATTGGCACCACAACAGCAGCAGCAGCAGTTCTAAATGGCTGCTGGTCTCTTGGGTGGCCTGGAAACACTCTCGCGCCCGAAACTGAGCTGTCAAGAGCAGGTTGATGTTGTGTTGGTGTGTTGGTGTTTTACAACACAACCGCCGTGTGCTGCTGCTGCTACGGTTCCAGGAACGGTGCTGAAGAGGATTAACGGCGGCGGCGGCGGAGAGGGAAAGAAGAGAAAGAGGGCTTCTACTTTTCTGCTTCCTGAATTCAGGTTCTGCTGTCCATCATCGGCGACGGCTGCGTCAAATCAAGCAGCAGCAGCAGCAGCAGCGACTGACAGAGACAGATCACCACCATCATCATCAGCGACGTTTGGGAGTTCTACTTTCATCACCACTACCACATCATGTCGATAGACTCCACTGCCTCCTCCTCCACTCCGGCCAGCATCTTCAAGATCCTCCTGCTGGGCGATAGTAACGTGGTAAGTGTGCTTTGAAGATGTTTTCACCTTTAGAACGCTCAATTTCGAACTCCTTTTCTCCTTCCTTCCTCCTCCAGGGCAAGACGTGCATCGTTCAGCGCTTCTGTGATGACTCCTTCATCGAGGGCTACATCAGCACGATTGGTAATTGCCCGATTGATTGATTGATTGATCGGGAGTTTCAAATTCTGATTTTCGAACCTTTAAAATCCATCCCTTCCCTCAGGAATCGACTTCAAGCAGAAGCACATCCGCCTGAATGAGCAGCAGGTGAAGCTGCAGCTGTGGGACACCGCCGGCCAGGAGCGCTTCCGGGCGCTGACCACCGCCTACTACCGAGGTGCAATGGTAAGTGGTGGTGGTGATTACTCCTGAATCCTGGATCACCTTTTGACGAACATGTTTACCAATGCAGGGCATCATCGTCGTCTACGACGTGACCAACCTGGAGTCCTTCCAGCACATTCCCTACTGGTTCAAGAACATTGATGAGGTGAGAAGGCGGCGGTGCTCTCTTTCTTCTTCGGTCAGTCTCTTCGGTCCTCTTCACAGTCTGCTGCTGTCCTTGTGTCCTTGTGTCTGTCCAGTGCAGTTTGCCTGTTCCTGTAGAGTGCCTCTTCATGTTCATCACCTCAATTTGTTTGAGCAATTGATGTCAGTAACGAATCTTTGCGGTTTTCTAATTTCACTAGAACGCCAGCCCCAGCGCCATCAAGATCCTAGTGGGGAACAAGTGCGACGCCGACTCGGCGCTGCGCGTCGTCGACAAGGAACAAGGGGCCCGACTGGCGGCCCAGTACGAGGTGCCCTTCTTCGAGTGCAGCTGCAAGCACAACATCAACATTCAGCCGATGTTTGTGACGCTGTGCGAGCGCATCGGCGAGTACCTAGAGAAGAATGTAAGCAGTGGTGGTGGTGGTGGTGGTGATGATGGTGANACTGTGCGAGCGCATCGGCGAGTACCTCGAGAAGAATGTAAGCAGCGGTGGTGGTGGTGGTGGTGATGATGATGGTGAAGTTGATAATCTTTTCATAATCTTCATCTTTTCCTTCCTTCTTTCTTCTTCCCCAGGAGAACCACTTCAACTACGAGGGCCAGCAGCAGCAGATGATCACCGACTCGATCATCAAGCGGCTGGAGGAGACGGAGGCAAACGCCGCCGGCGGCGCCAACTCCGCCTACAGTCGATGTTCGAGCTGTGTCGCCGGCTATGCACCCGCCTATGTTGGTGGAGGTGGTGGAGGAGGAGGAGGTGGTGAAAAGGAACACGAAAGCTAGAGAATGTTTTGAAGAAGAAGAAGAAGAAGAAACCGAAGAGCACTTGTAGATTACCGTGTGTTTTTCCACCCACTCACTCACTCAATCACCACCACCAAGTGTATACACCTCCTTTGTTTCTCAGCTTTACTGTTTGAAGATTTCCTGTAAATATAAAACGACGACGAGTTTCTTTTTCTCAGTGATCAGGTTTGGTCATCATCTCTTTTTGTCCTCTCTTCATCCGAATGGCCATCCCAGCTGCCGCCCGCCGATAAAGTGCAGATGCAGGTGGTAGATAGTCTGGAAGCCATTGTGGCCGCTGTTGATCACCACCCGGTACCCATCTGCGGCCATTCGCTTCTGCTCACGAGCGATCCGATTGCCCACCAGCAGCAGATGCCCCAGTAGCTGATTTAAAGGTAAAGGTTTTGGAAGTGATTAGAAGGCAAAAACACACGCCCTCAAAAACTTTTGGCTCACTCACCAGTTGATCCTCCTCGGTGGCGTCCGCCAGCTGGCGAATGGGCTTCCGCGGAATGACCAGAAAGTGCACCGGTGCTGGGTGTGTTTATTGGAAAGAAAGATTAGTACAAAATAGAACTGGAAAGTGCTGTACTACTCACCGGTAGGGTTGATGTCATCAAAGGCGACGCACTGCTCGTCCTCGTAGATGAACCTGCTCGGCTCTTGCCCGGTGAGCATCCGCCCAAAGATGGTCTCGCCCACCGCCTCCTCATCATTGTTGGCCATGTTTGCTGCTGCTGCTGCTGCTGTTTCTGCCGAAGTCGAGGGATACAGAATTTCTTTCAATCTATCGAAGGGGGAGAGCATACTGAAGAGGAACTCAACGATGATGACGGCAGAGAAGTAGGCGATTTTGTTGGTGGTGTTGCAGTGTAGGTGAGTGAGTGTTGCACCACTTCTATATAACTGCTTGAAAGAGTTGTGCTTTTGTGTGTTGCGAAACAAAAAAGCTAATCATTACCACCACCACCACCTCCTCATCCGCCCACTTTTACGACTCAAATAAATCAATCACTTCTCAGAAAAGCACACTTGTACGTGTTGTGGTTGTTGTTGTTATTGTTATTGCTGCTGCTGTTGTTGTTGCTAAGGCTGTTTACAAGCAGTTGTTGTTTTTGGGTGGCAGAAAAGAGAAGTTCCTGAAGAAACCGATTTTAACAGACGCAAAGAAAAGTAGAAACTGCTGCTGTTGCTGCTGGGAAGAAAGTGATGAGCAATCATCAGCAGCGGTGAGCAAACATTATCATTATCCTTAGCCAGGCGGCCAGGTGAGCTGTCGGCCGCCGATAAAGTGCAGAT